TTATCTAGCACAGTCTAAGGTAACGAGACAGGTCGGCTGACAGATAGGTTATTCTGGGAGTTGAGGGTCAGTCAGTACGGTGTACAGCAGGACAGCCGGGGGGACCGAATGAGGTGTCGATCGGGGATCCGCGCTAACCTTGCAGGAGCAAACTGTCTAACCATCAAAGGGAGTCAACGAGAGTGAAGACAGATGTGGAACATGAAGAAATGCACTTATTAAATAAGACGCGAATCCTGCACCACATAAATTCCCCTGGTGCCTGGAGAATCCGCTCTCAAAGGTAGAGTGAATCCAGGATCACTGCGGAGAGAGTATCACGGGTGATTGGAGATAACGGGAAGGTGACCGGGCCTCTGACGTACCATACGAATATACGATCCGTACCCGCTTGGGCTTCCCCACATAGACTAGCTAGCCTTTTCTCGACCGGCGCCCAGCTCCTCCACTTCGTCTATCCAGAATCTCGCCTCGACAGGCTGGGCCATGAAGCAATTGTTCTAGAATGTCAAGCAAATCCGCTCTGAAGGCGGTGCGAACAGCACTCGACGCAAAGGATTTTGAGCTTGCAGCTGAGAAAGCCAAAGCTATTGTGCAGCAAGACCCTCAGATCTACCATGCGTGTGTTGCCCCGACCCCGCGGTACCCATTGCGCTGCTCACTGTCTGACCATATCACAGCAATGTCTTCCTTGGTCTAGCTTTAGATAAACTCAACAAAAACACCGAGGCTGAAAGGGCCTATCTTTCGGCAATCCGGGTGAAAGAGAACGACAAGACAGCGTGGCAGGGACTCATCAACCTCTTCGAGAAGCAGGGAGCTCACAAGCTCGATACGTATCGCGACGCAGTTCTCCGACTGGGTCAAGTATATGTTGACTCGTGCGTTTTCATTCCGTCTTTGTCTCTAAACTGAATAATCACTAAATAAAGTGCAGAGATGACAAAAATCGCTGCCAAGATTTGGTCGACAAGTACGTTGGGTTCGCGAAGAAGAACGGATCTCGGTCGCAGTACAAGAAAGCCCTCGAATTACACCTGCCATCATGCCCGCTTTACGATTTCCTCGAGGGGAGAGTTCCCCATCCTTCGCACACCTACCTCCGATTGATAGAAATGACCGAGGCGGAGGAAAAGGAGTTCATCAACAGGGAAATCGGTGAACGACGTACGCGACTTGGTGCAAAGATTGATCAGGTTACACTAGAGGTCAAGAGGGAGGCCTTCAAACGGAGCGAGCTAGAGGAGCTTTACCGTGGAATTGTCAATTGGTCTCATGATGATGAAGTTCGGCGTACCTACGAAGAGAAGTTATTACAGCGGGCGAACGACATTCTCTCCGTGCTACCGGCGAATGAAAAGGACGCCAAGCGAGCAGAAGTGTTCCAGGCTGCCCACGATATGGTGATCATCAAACACCCTTTCGAGCTCGCGTGGAAGATCGTGCTAGAATGGCAGGATATTCAGAACTTCTCTGAGTGGGACCGCAACTTCTTGGACGACTTCATTGAATTCTTCCCCGAGGACGGTCTCTCTAAGCTACTGAAGGGCTTCTTGGCTAGCGACTTGTCACCATTCCCGAAAGACAAAGAACCCAAAGAAGCTGCAAAGAAGGATGAAGAGACCGAGAACAACAATGGCGAGAGCAATGAGCTAGGCGTCCAGGATAACCTGCTCTTGATGGTGGAAGGCCTTGAAGGATCTTCGGCGTCGATCGTCGCTCACCGGGTTGTGGCCGAACTCTATCTCTCACTTGAAGAGTACGACAGCACAGTGGATGTCTGTCGCAAAGGCCTTCGCAATGTGCAGGACCTTGTCAGGAGGACTGGCATCAGCCTGCAAAACACCACGGATGCACTCAACATTATGCTAGCCAACTCGCTTATTTATTACCAGTCTCCCCGGCATCACCCCGAAGCTAAGCGGATTTTTGAAGAGATCTTGGGCAGAGAGCCGAAATCCACGAGCTGCTTGTTGGGTATCGGTCTGATTCTTAAGGTTGACGAGGATTACCCTGAAGCCGTCAATTTCCTGGAGCGTGCGCTGGAGCGAGACCCGACGAATATCAAAGTCCGCGGTGAGCTGTCGTGGTGTAGGGCACTCAACGGCGATATTGCATCTGGCTTGGAGGGACTGCAAGACGTCCTTGAAGAACTTCAGGAAGCGGAGTCCGACAATCGAGAATTCAAAGCTGAGATCCTCTACCGAGTGGGATACTGCCAGTGGGAGAATGATCCATCGCCGGCAGCGCGCAAAGACCGGACTGGAGCATACGCCAGCTTCCTCGCGTCTATCCAGTCAAACATGAATTTTGCTCCTGCCTATACGAGCCTCGGTCTTTACTATGCAGACTACAAGAAGGACAAGACCCGAGCACGTAGGTGCTTCCACAAGGCATTCGAGCTGTCGGCATCAGAGATCGAAGCAGCCGAGCGACTTGCCAAGACATTCGCCGATCAGAGGGAATGGGATCTTGTCGAAGCCGTGTCCCAACGTGTCGTGGATTCAGGGAAGGCTAAGCCTGCCCCAGGCTCGAAGCGCAAAGGGTACAGCTGGCCCTACGCAGCTCTGGGCACAGTGCAAATCAACAAGCAACAGTACCCTAAGAGTATTGTCTCTTTCCAGGCAGCTCTCAGAATTTCTCCCAATGACTACCATTCGTGGGTCGGTCTAGGCGAGAGCTACCACCACTCTGGCAGATTCATTGCCGCTACCAAGGCGTTTGAGCACGCACAGCAGCTCGAGGATAACCTGTCCGACAAGGAGCAGATCTGGTTTGCAAGGTACATGCTGGCTAATGTCAAGCGAGAGCTCGGCGAGTACGAGGATGCTATTGCGAGATATGAGGACGTCTTGCAGGTGCGGCCGAATGAATTTGGAGTGGCGATTGCGCTGCTTCAAACGCTTACCGAGAGCTCCTGGAAGAGTTTGGACCAGGGTCTTTACAATGACTGTATTGAGCTGGCACGGAAGGCTCTACTAGTAGCCAAGTCGCTTGCTCTGGAACGGGTCGACGTTTTCAACCTATGGAAAGGAATCGGAGACGCCTGTACGCTCTTCTCCTACGTCCAGTCGAAAGCGGGTAGGCTGCCGGTTGATGAGCTACGAGACCTACTTGAGACTCAGCTGGAACCTACGGCTCTCGATATCTTGACAGAACTTGATAATGTTGGTCATGACTATCTATCTTCGTTAACAGCGGACGATGAGTCCGCCAACCGGACGAGCCAGTGCCTCTACGCTGCTATCCTGGCATACAAGCGTGCTATTCAGGTCTCCCTGCGGGACAGCCATGCCCAAGCAGTCGCCTGGTACAACCTGGGCTGGGCAGAGTACCGAGCCTACCGGTGTTTACAAACCATCTTGAACACGGAGAACAAGAAACAGTCACGTAAGCTCTTGAAGGCAGCTATGCGGTGCTTTAAGAGAGCTATTGAGCTCGAAGCCGGAAATTCGGAGTTCTGGAACGCCCTGGGAGTAGTCACCACGAGCATGAGTCCCAAGGTTGCACAGCATGCATTCGTCCGCAGTCTTCACCTGAACGACAGGAGCGCCCAAGTCTGGACGAACCTGGGAACTCTTTATCTCATCCACAATGACATTCAACTCGCTAATGAGGCTTTCACCCGGGCACAGTCCACTGACCCCGACTACTCCCCGGCCTGGGTTGGTCAAGGATTCTTGGCTCTCTTGTTCGGAGATCCTCAGGAAGCGAGAGGGCTCTTTGAACATGCCTTTGATATCTCCACTTCATCGACTCGTTTGTCAAAGAAGCAGTATACGATGAGCTTGTTCGACCACCTCCTGTCGGATTCGTCGCTGTCGAACGAGATCTCACAACTCATCCAGCCATTCTTTGCCCTGCACCAGCTCTCCAGCCAGGACCCGTCTGACCTTCCGTTCGTCCACCTTTCTGCTCTCTTGGCGGAAAGAATTGGCGAACACACCGACGCTGAGGCGAGTCTGCGGTTAGTTTGCACAGGCATGGAAAGTGAATACGAAGTCACGGAATCCGCGTCGTCCCTTTCCCGATATGCACAGGCCAATGCAGACATTGCTCGTGTTCTGCTTGCGCGCCATGACTTCGAAGAAGCTGCTGAGAAGGCGGAGACAGCTCTAATGTTGTCTGGAGAGGAAGATGCCGAGAAGTTTGACCCAGAGACAAACCGCAAGTTGCGCCTATCGGCCCATTTGACAGCCGGTCTAGCACACTACTACCTGAAGTCGATGGACAACGCGATTGACATGTTCCGGGACGCCCTTCAGGAAGCCGACAACGCTCCGGAGGTGGTGTGCCTCCTGGCACAGGTTCTGTGGGCCAAGGGCGGAGAAGAGGAGCGCGCTGTGGCACGCCAGCAACTATTCGACTGTGTTGAGGAGAACCCCGATCACATTGGGGCTGTCACGCTCCTAGGAGCAATCGCACTCCTTGACGCGGATGCGGATGCTATCGATGCAGTCGAGTCCGACCTGCAGAATATGATCACAAGAGACGACATTGAGATTCATGAACGCGGCAAGCTCATCAAGCTCTTGACCGCCATCTCGACCCTTGGATTCACGGACAACTCTGGCGTACCCGAGGATGTTCGACGCGTCGGCGAGGCCACAGCAGCGGTGATGAGATCGCCGTACGAACCTCAAGGTTGGGTAGAGTTAGCGTCCGCCACGCAGGAACTATACCCTGCGGAGATGGCGACCAAACGGGCAGCGAGGAGTGTCCCTCCCCGAAGCAACTTGGAGGCCATCGATCTCTCCGCGGCATATGCACAGACCGGAAAGGCAAGCGATGCACTGCGGGCGATCATGGTTGCGCCATGGAAGCAGACTGGATGGGAGGAGTTGAACCACGCGGTCTCAACAACCAGCTAGACGTGTTGTAGTTAGTTAACTGTCACACACACACATACACATATTAGTATAGATGCATACAAGCATTAGACACACTCCATCATCCAAATTCCTCCAACAAGGAAACCTACCACCATAAGAAGACCCAGTCTACACCCCCCCATTAATCCTCTCCAATAACCTCTCCTTCCTCCCCTCCCTCCACTGCACATCCAACCCCTCAATCTTCCCTCCCAACACCACACAGGACTCCGGCGTAAGCATCACCAAGCCCCTCGCAACCGTAACATCCCTCACGATGACCTTCGCCCCAATAGCCAACTTCCCCAACCCAATCCCATTGACCCTAGCGAATTCTAACCCGACGGCCCTCGTCCCCGCCGCATCCTGCAGAATCAACCGATGCGTTCCATTACTATCACCTCCTCCTCCTCCACCACCCCCGCCTGCTGCATTATTATTATTATTATTCTCCGCAGCAGCAGCCTCACTATCCTCCCCCACATTCACCGTCCTCACGATCTCCCTCCCCCGAATCGCCTCCCCCCTTTCCACGCGCTCAATAGCCTCCACCTGGCTCCAGAGACTCGTGCCGATGTCTTCGATATCGAGGACTTGGAGTGGGATGGGGCCGTTCAGACGGCGTTCTTGGATCGTGGGATCGAAGATGTCGACTGGGAGGAGGGTGGAGGGGTTGGTGGTACTGAGGGAGTCGCGGATGTCGGAGGTCAAGATGCGGAAAAGGGCGGTTTGGGTGAGGGCGCTGAGGGGGATGGTGCGTGATGTTGATGTTGTTGTTGAGGCGAGGAAGGTGGTTAGCCAGGTGGGGGAGACGGGGAGGGATTTGGTGGTGAGGAGGTGGGTGGTTATTTGTTGATGAGGATTGGAGGTCATTGTTGTTGATAGTAGGTGTGTAGATTAAATATTAGAAGAAGAAAGAAGGTGCATCGTTGTGAGGGGTTCTTCGTTCCTGGGGAGGTATGTCGATACTACTAGCTCTGATAGAAAATGTTTACTGTAGCTCCGATGCGGAGCGGAACGAATCCGGGGAACGGACCACCAGCTAGCTAGACTTCATCTGAAACTCTCCTTATCGGGGCGATCTTTAAACCTTCAAAACTCCTTTCAACGGATCACTGCCCAATACATACGCACCTATACTCAACCTCCCTTTTTCCTAATTACCTACATCTACGAAGATCTCTAATCGACATGTCCACCCTCTCCTCCCCCCGTCCCTCAATCGCCTCATCCCGCGCACACTCTCCAACACCAGCATCATCGCACCGACCCTCCCTCGACACCCTCAACACCAACTACAACCTCAACAACCTCAGCGCCTCCTCCACTCCATCCACCGCCCGCGCCGTCTCCCCTTCCTTCCACCCCCGCCGCAACCGCGCCGCCCTCCGCGACTACTACAACCTCAAACCCTCCTCCGCAGCCGATCCCAACAATGACGGGCGCCGCTCACGCAGCATCCCGCGGCACACCGACGCAGGCGACATCTCCAGTAGCAGTAGTGGTACCGGCGGCCCATCTATACTCTCCACAACAGGGACCGAGCTCGATAGCCCAGACTTCGATCCCCAACGCTACGTGAACCAGCTCCTCGCTTCGTCGTCGCTATCAACAGTCCTGAAAGCGGAGAATACGCTTGTCGGGGATATCCGCACGTTGGACAGTGAGCGCAAAGCATTAGTGTATGACAATTACTCGAAGTTGATTAGGGCTGTTGAGACGATTGGGAAGATGCGAAGGACGATGGATGATCGGGGCGCGCCGTTGACGATGACGAAGACGCTGGGGCCCGCGATTGCGTTTGTGGCGGAGACTGCTGGGGGTCTGATTCAGGAGGGCGAGGAGCAGCAGAGGAGGATGAGGGAGGTTAAGGAGAGTGAGGGGGGTGAGAGGAGAAGAGCTGAGAAGGGGACGGTGAAGTGGGTGCTTGCGGCGCCGGGGAGGTTGGAGAAGTTGTTGGAGGAGGGGAAGGGGGATGAGGCGGAGGGGGATTGGAGTGAGGTCAAGAAGTTGTTGGATAAGTGGGAGGGGGTTAAAGGTGTGAAGGAGGTTAGGGAGGCTTGTGAGAAGGTTATGGAGGGGAGGGAAGCTTGAGTTGGGGAGATTCTTTCATCTTTCAGAAACGGGATCGCAGTGAGGTGCCTCGATATCACCTTATCTGCCACTTCCCAGACAACAGACACCCTATTACCCACCAAGGCACTTCTACACAGCTCGAGCCGGTCTCTGAGCTACTACTATCTTCAAACCATTGACAAGCCAACTTAGATTAATGAAACTAAATACCCACAACATGCATGGAAAACAAGGTTCACATCACATCATTTTCCAAACACAGAACAAATGTCCAAGATACCAAGCTCGACTCCAAACCCAATATCACAATCTACTTCTTCCCAAAATCCCGACTCGAGTACATACTCGCCCTCAACCCCCACATATTACCCCCCTTGATATCCAATTGCGTATACGCATCACACTTATAATAAATCGGCCGTCCATCCAAATCCACCAACTCCAATGCCGCCATATTCCTCAAAACCCTCTCCACATCAGCTCTATCCTCATAGTCCTTCGTATAGATACAAATCAACCTCGTCATGTTTGAACTCTGATCACCAGCACCAGCACCAGCACCAGCACCAGCACCAGCAGTAGCGGTAGCCACCTTAGCCCCAAACCCCAACTCCCCCTTCGCCGTAGCCTCCGCCACTACCCCCCACACCTCATCCACCTTCGCAGGCGAGATAAACAACATCCACTTTCCCGAAACCACACCCGTTTCCCTCGCCAGAGCAAACAGCGTCCTCTCCAAATCTACACGGTGCTTGGTGAGTTCGCGCGTCAGTGCAGCGGGTGTCTGCGTTTTCTTTGGCTTCTTAGCGTGTTCGGCGCGCACCTGAGCGATTGCCTCTTCATGAGCATGGAGTGCCTTCGACCCTTCTGCCACTAGCTTCTTAATGTCCGCTTGGGGATTCTGATAACTGTAGCTGGATATGTATATCCAGGACCCCGTGGGGGATGTGGAGAGGGTGGATGAGGGCCGTAGACGGGCGAGGAAAGATGAGATAGGTTCGTTAGGTGAGGGGCGGTTGTGCCTGATTGGGGTTGTGTCTGTGCTTGAGATGGGGACATCGAAATCGTGGGTGGGGATAGGGGTTGATGGGGGTTCGCTGGAGAGGTGGGAAGTTGTGAGGTCCATGGGCTCGGGTGCATCTGATGCATCGGATGACGATGAGGGCATAATTCCTCGGGCTGCAAGGACGTTTTGTTTGATTGTATTGTACTCATGGGGATGGATGTCTGTCCAGTAGTGGTCGGTGTCGAATTTGGACACTTCCTCTTCTAGACGTGTTGTCTCTTCTTCCGAACCTGTGGGGGTGGTTAGTTGGTGGTTTCGTTTGTGTGGAGGGGAGTACAAGCCGTAGAAACTGGATTCTTCTGATAGGTCTGGCATGATAACTGTGTTAGACATCGGTGGTGAATCTCTGATAGTGATGATAGGATGAGATTTAGGATAGTAGATGGGTGTGTATGAATAGAGACTGGTGGTTGGGATAGAGAGATAGATTGAATGGGAGAGGCCTGGTTAAATGAGGCTGAAGGTGGAACAAGTGAAGGTGACTGGGGCTTGTCACTCCCACCCATCACTGCCACAGTCACTGTGCCATTTATAGGTGAATAAATGGTCTGGCATTTGCCTATAAATCTGCAGCCTTTTCCTCGCTCTTCTCTTCTTCTCCTCTCCATCTTTCTGGTTGGTCATCTCCCCTGCATGCATTTTATAGGGACTGGACTTTCTTACGGCCCGGCGTCTCATTAGTGATAGACACGCTTTGATCAACTAACATACCCTATGGAGAAAGCAAACCTGTCTTTCTTAATCTGATCACAGCACCGCAAGTATGCCTTAGTGCTGTGCTCGATAATTTTGGAGTATGGAACCTGATTCTCAATAGTGGCTTGAATTCAAAGGAATGACCCAAGATCATGGCATTAAAAATTTACCTAATCTTACTGATAGTCGTATATACAAAAACAATGTTTGCAGGGATCATTTCTATTTTCATTATATCTTTCAATCTATATGTTTTCTTCAAGTCGAGGCCATGGTGGAGGACAGCAAAACGCATTGGGGCCCTGCTCAAGAATTCTACAATCGTAATGCAAGGAATAATGCCCAAAATCCCACGAGGACTTTCATATTGGACGTCTCATTGAATAGGGCAGCCCTATAATTGCACTAAATGTGTACCACCAGCACAGATCCTTTTCGGGGCGTAGCAGGCCGATAGTTGGCTGTGACACGGCTCTTCAGCAATACTTGACGAGATCGACTATGCAGCCTTACAAGAACCATCAGACTGTCACTTTCTCGCCCCATGAGTTCAATACGACGAAAGCAAAAACACGCATGCGTTTACAGACACCAGCGGCCGCATCTATATCGATAAAAGCTACTTTCATTAGGGACAACTGACAGGAGAAAGCTTTACCCAAGAGATGATCCAGAGCATCAGACACTGTGGGTCGAATGAGAAGCTATGTCCTCGTGGCTAGGCTTCAGGTCTACTACCGCATGACAGACGTGGACAATACATATGTCCTGCTGATAGAGTTCAAGCCTCTTTTCGAGAAGCCATGATAATAAACAAGCTTTCCTGCTAAGACAAGGCAGGAAACCCAACTAGTATTCTGTAAGCTGGCTATTCAATACGGCTCAGTGAGATTGAACATAACGAGTCAAAAGCAAAGGAGGGCCCTGGAAACTTCCACTATCCAGAATGTCGCCTTGATAAGTGGGCATATTATCAGACCGAAACTACATGCGCTGGTGTCTATTCATGTTGACTTCAAACCCAGACAATTTATTCTTCGGCAAGTCTTGTCACTATTCCATCAGTGCATGGAAAACTTCGGCCAAAAATAATCATCGTACGCCCGTTCTTTTAGGGCTAGAATGCAGTGGATGGGTCCAGATCATTGATCCATGGGGGAATGTTATAGCTCGAAGATATGGGGACAGCGCTACGAGCAAAAGCTAGTTATGTTAAGGGTTTTACACTGTCATTATCGATTTTCCCTCCGCCTGCTATACGCCAAGTTCGGAGCAGACTCAACGCGAAAGGGTTGGTGTACCTTATCGGGAACCACTAATAGGAGCAAGTTGAACTCCTATCGACTCTCACTCCAGTAATGGCTGTGGAATGACACTCAAAAAACAACCCAGGAAGTCGCTGTCTCACTCTATGAGACCGTTTGCTATGTCGACTAGCTTACAATGACAGCGATAACCTGAAGGTTATCAAGCAGGATATGCCTGCTGACTGATAGTAACAATACAGAGGGTGAACACATAGTCGAGTCCTGATAGACCAAGGAGCTAAGATGATAACTCGTCTTTACCCATGCGAGTCGTTGAAAAGTCACTCACTATATATCTTCGACTGCTGCTCCGCAGGCTCTGTTGCACTCCCTAATGGACCAAAGCAATAGCGGCTTGCGATGGGGAGCGGACAAGCTCTGCAAGCTTGAACTTCTGCTTGGTGCTTGCTCTGGAAATTACCTTGGTATATAGTGACCGGGTACGCATGGCAATGACGGAATCTTACCCGATGCTGAGGACACGCAGGATCATCCCGATCAATGACAGACACCTGGCCCTGCTGTCGGGAGCTTAAGATCCATTGAGCTTCTCATTTCTCCCCCAGTCAACAATGCCTTGAAGCGAACGTCACTTTCGAAAGACCCAAGTAATCTTGGGGAAGTCGTTCAATTCGGGGTGTTGGAAGAGGTGAACATTATTGCGTGATATGAAGGTCGATCTGGTTTTCTACGTTTCGTTGGCCTGAGAACTTACTCGAGCATCAAAGACTTCACTCTAGGAACAGCAAATGGTGCTTACGAGCCTTACGGTTTAACCTCACATTATATTACTTATCTGACGTACTCTGTGGAGTGATTTATTCGAAAATACTATGGAAGATAAATCCTACCAATATAGTTCGAGATCCCCATGTCACTCTTCTATAGAAGCCCTAGCATACTCTAGTGTTTGCTGTCGAACCTGGCTATCCAGAAACATGCATCCGGGTAGTCTCTGAAGCAGATGCAAAAAACCTCTTTGCCCCCTTTACTTACTATATTGAATCAGGAAACTAATACTCATCTTCTGCTCATAATAAGATATCCCATAGATGAGAGATATGCCCATCAAGAAGAGAAACTACAATATGCCATATGACATTACAGTTGACAACTCACATAGATTATCCACAAGGCCATTTTCCTAGCCGGGAGTTTCTCAAGGGCTGGCTGGTCCCCGCATAAGCAACCGCGTGGAGAAGAAGAAGCTCAAAATGCGCACAAAGGCATCTCGAAAATGTCGAAGCGAGATCTTACTTTGCTGGAAGATTCCATCCAAAGAGGAAACTCATGGCATTATTCTTGAAGTTGCTTGGGCCCACTGTGGCTGAAAAATATGGAGTACTTAACTCTATTCATCGCTGACTACGCTCGAAACCCGAATACCTGGTCAAAGCCAGCAGCCATTCGATAGAGAACACACAAAGATGAATTCTAATAGGCGAGCTTCAAGTGCAGCACCTAGCGATGAAGCTAAAGGCCATATCCGCGGTCTACGCGTGGAGCTCTTCTTCCAAGCAAGGAATACCGCAGACTAAGTGAATTAATTGAGATCCTGATCAACGCTCGGTGGTACTTCGACTGGCATACTGATAGCTACCAGCAGCGCAATGACATGCAATCTCATATGCGCATCGAACAGTACACACCTTTGTTTATAGCAAGGGCTAACATCTCTGCTCTGCGATTCGGATGTCACGGGCTGTTCGGGGACTTCCCCGTGCTATGCGTTTAGATCAAGCGTCAAAGAAAAGGGAGATCTACCAAGGCTTGCCATATTAGCCATACAAATTGACATGGCACACTGGAACTATGGGAAAACACTAACCATCCACGACTAATTTCGCAGGTAGATCCAGTTTGCCCTTAGAACGATTGCCAATCCAACAGCAGGTGAAGGATAAACCGCGCTCCGCCTTGATGGAATAATGGAGAAAACAAGATTTATCAAAGCTGAAAAACTTCTCATTAGAGCTGGTGGGTTTAGAATGTCGAGATCTTCAGCAGAGACATCTGAAGGGTACTTTAGAAGAGCAGAAACAGCTAATACATTCCCGCTCGAAGTAGAAAGAGGCAGCAGTCCTCCAGGGAAGCTAATCTTTGGACGGAGAATTTATCACTCTCGCCATTTAGGGTATAAGTTTCTTGTCGATCAGAGCTGGAATAGTTATGGTCCTTTCCTGCTTGATTTTGCACATCGTTCACCAATCATTGCATATTCCAAGCCCACATCGATTCTGCTCGTGATACAAGTAATGGGAATAACGGTGACTATATTGTGTATCCCAAGTATACCTCTGGGCGACATTGATGAGACAGGTGACTGACGACTGGCTGATGATAAAGGTGTTGTGTTCACCTTATATACTTCATAGAATACATGCCTACATGATGAGAATCATTAACATACGCTGTTGGAAGTCATATGCGTTGACTATACCGACGCGCGGCTGGCACAGAGACCTCTCGATCGAGTCTAAGTAGCGCTTCACAGTATGTATAGTATCTTTAATGATCACAAACACTAGGTCTACAAGGCAGCATAGAAAGCCTACGCCAGTGGATGGTCCGAATGGAAATACCAATTTAAATGAATAACTCGAAAAAATTGAAATAAGATTCGCTTTCGTCCAAAGTCCCATAGCCTGTAGCTCACACTGCACTGTGCCGTCATCAACGCAACAGGCAAAAAAATGAATGGTCCAACAGTGATAAAAAAGGATGTTGCGCTTCTGAAGGCTCTCGACTATGGTCGTGACTAGTGAGAGGGCAATCTATCCTTGAATGATACATACAACTCGAATGGTAGAAATGTAGAATAAACATAGGCTACTAGTGCAGCCTTGTGGGTAGAGAGTGGCCATTCTTTTAGTAAATCTGAGTTCCCAGTCCTTAAATCCGCTAAAAAAAAAAAACAACGCCAATTGAAACGAGTGTCCGAAAACAAATCCAACAGTCTCGACATCTCATCTGCAGCATAAGTGAGCTACCTAGAACGGTGGCATCTGCGTTTGGTTGAACATGTACATGCTCTCATCTGGAAAGTTGTTGTTGCCATTGGCAGCAGTGTCGAAGAGCATGCTGTTCATGATGGAGTCATCGTAAAAAGCTCCAATGGAGCTAAAGTCCATCTGGCCAGGCTGGTACATATGTTCACCGTACCCGAAGGAGGCGTCCTCGAAGAAGTCTGTCGTTCCGTTGAGAGGGGCAAAGTCATTGTCGGTATACAAGACGCAGTCTTCGTGCTTCAGCTGGGAGTAAGGGTCCTGCAGCGGCAACATCGGGTTTTGCGAATAGTTGTTGACAAATCCCGGGGATTGGAGAGGGCCCGTTGCCGGTGTGCTGAGCTGAGCGGGACTGACTTGGGGTGGGTTCATTTGAACCGAGCTGCCCTGATCCGGGCTCATCTGAAGGG